ATATTTTTTATGATTTATTTTAATTGTGTTAATTTGATTTTTTATGTAAAATTTGACTTAATAATCTTAAGTGACTTGTTAGAATAATAAGTTGTATTTTCTAAAGCCTCCGTTCCCATTTCTTTTCACCCACTTCTGCGCTGCTAGTTATATATCTCTTTATTTGAGTTTTTCCCTGCATCGAATTCCTTTCTTTTTTCACCTCATGAATTTGTTCTTATTTTTTTGTGCTTCTTTATACTCTTACAGTATATCAAAATTATTTTTTTGTGCATTAAACTAATAATTTTAAATTTTAATTAATCTATTTATAAATTTTCCATTTACACCAAAAAGGAATTTAAAGTTGTAGGCGAAAGTCAAGAGGATATTTCCAAGAAGATGCATAACAAATGCTACTAATTAAATTATGAATGAGTATGAACGGAAATGTCCTGCCACTCTTTTCTAAAACAATCACGTTCCAAGCACGACCTTAAAGTAGTGAGCAAGTCAATGAGAAAGTCGAGAGGATATTTGCATGAAGATACATAACAAATGCCACTTAATAAATTATGAATTATGAATATGCATAGCCATACTCACGAAATGTCATGGTATTGCCCTATAATCAAAAACAGTAAACAGTAATGTTGGTGAAGCTTTGGCTTGGTTCGCATGCATTTGGAATTTTAATACTGTTTCAGCTCTGTCTATACTTCTATTTCTAGCTATTAGTTAAAATCATTTACCACAATTTTATTTTAAAATTTTTATTTAATTATGTAAATTAATATGTAAAATATAAAATTTTCTTTATAAGTTATTCTCCTGAGATTTTTTAAAAAAATATGTTTAAAATTTTAATTTTTAATTAAGATTTTTTAAAACAATTGTTAAATTAAAATTTTTATATTAATTTAATAAGTTTAACTAAATTATTAAGTATATTAAATTTAATATCATTAAATATATATTAGTAAATAAATTTTTAATTAAAAATTATAAATGTTAGATTAATAATAATAATTGATATACATAATCTACATAAATAAAAATTTTAATTTAAGTGTTATTTTTAAAAATATTAATTAAAAATTAAATTTTTAGATAAATACTTAAAAAAATTTTTAAAAATAACTCACACTATACTAATTTCAAAATATAATCCTATAATAATATCACATGGATATTACCAAATAAAATTATAGCTTCTATAATTTAGTATAATATCGTGGTTTTAAGAATTTTTCATGCACTATTGTAACTCTCTTTCCTCAGCTATTTTTCTCTGCCTCCTCTCTTTGATTTTCTAATTGTTTTCACCTGTATTTTTCTATTTGTAAAATTTTTTATTTTGCTCCCAAAAAAAAATATAATAAAGTAGTAAGCAACTCAATGAAAAGGTCAAGAGAATATTTCTAAGAAGATGCACAACAAATACCACTCATTTATGAATGAGAATAATGAGTATGTGCAGTTATCATTTAAAAATGTACTGCCATTTTAAACAGTAAAAGGCAAGCCTTGGCAATTATTTAAGATTTTAAAACATTTTAGTTTTGTCTATATTTCTGTTTTTATTCGTTAAAATCAGTCACTATAATTTTATTTATAATAATTTTTTTACTTAATTACGCAGAATAGTATATATTATCACACGAATATTACAGAATAATATTATAAATATATTATTTTAATTTTATTATTACTATAATTTAATATAATGTCGTATTTTTCAACTTTTCATTGTTTCTCTTTTCTCAGATATTTTTCTCTGCCTCGGATTCCTTTCTCTCTCGCCGATACCATAGCCACGTTTTCAAAATGTTAGTGGAATATTTTTCTCTGCCTCGGGTCTAGAGCTCAGCTCCATGTGAAATGCGTTCTTGTGAAATCCAAAAGAAATGCTGCTCAATTATGAATGGGCATGAACAATTGCCGCTAAGAAATGTCAAATCATTTAAAATAGTAAACACTAATATATATATTTTTTAAACAGGTTGACAAGGAATTGGGTTGAACTTCAGCCCAGGGAGAAAGGAGTGGACCGTAAGGTAATTATTGTCATTTGATCCAAAGAGCTCGGTGCTAGTAAACACTAATATATATATTTTTTTGAGCAAAGTGGTAAGGGTGGAATTCAAACTTTAAACTCATTAAAGGGAGAGGAAGTGCACCTTTAAAGTGACTCGAAAATCATTTGACTCGAAGTGTTAAGTGAAATAAACACTAATATTGGTGAAGCTTTTTGACTAGTTTGACATGCATTTAAAATTTCGTAGATAATTCTATTCCTATTCGTTATAATCATTCATTATAATTTTTTTATAATAAAAAATTTTAATTAATTATATAAATTAATATATATAACATAAGCTCATACATAATATGAAATATTACAAAATAACATTGCAGTTATATTAACTTTGTTATTATAACTTAATATTATGCCAGTGGTTTCCTTGTTATTCTTTACGCACAATTCACAATTGTATCTGTTCTGCACGGTTAGGCAAAGAGATTAATTATTTGTCTTTTATGGAGTATACCACTTTTCATGTGTGGATTAAAAGTGAGTTAAAAAATTTGTAATTTAAAAAAATTTTAAAATGAATGAAATAGTAATTGACAAATACATTTTGATTGAATTTTAAGTCTATTTTGATTAAAAATTAAATTGAATTAATTTTAAATGA